TAAAGTACACTCCCGCTTTTCCGAAAGACTGCATCCTGTCTGTGATTTGCATTCGGAGACTAGGCACTCCTTCTGGACAGTCTGTACACAGTTGTATAATCTGTTGGATAATATGAATAAGTTAACTTTTGACGAACTATTTGTGGGCTGAGAGTGAGAGGATTGACATCAGATGTGACTTTGAGCAACTGTGGGGTGCAGTTTTATAAAATCTTCATGCAGCATTTGTGGACACGATAATCAGTTTATCTTGGTTTACATTGTTGGTAAGGCGGGAGTGTCAATATTTATTACACACGGAAAGAAAAGCTGTATTAATTACAGGGAGTATTTATGAACTCATACTGTTTCTCAAGTTTACCGATAGACAAGGAAATGAAATTATTACAAGGAAGCGGTCTGTCCATACACGTATTGTTTCTGTGACAACATTATCGCCCGACCGGCAGTAAAATCTTAATCTTATATTAAAGAGTAAACACACCGACCGACCCGACTTTTCATCATGGTGGCTACGGGAAACACAAAAACTGCCGTCCTGTGATCACTGCAACTCGGACTGATGGCAAACTATAGTCAAAGGGAGGCAACTGATGCTTGTTCTATTGCATGACAGATAAACCTGATTTATTGCTACTTGTAGGAGACCTGGTCGGATAAAGATATCGGTGTTTAATCTTGATTGTTAAAAGAGAGCTCGTGACAAACGATTGCGCAAAAAATAAATACGTAAATGAAAGATGGGAGCACCTTTAGAATACAGCACCACAACTTCTCGTGAGGACGATCTCTGCCGTAGGTCACGTGTCATTAAGACAACCGTTTTGCCATGCAGGCGTCATAGGGCATTGTTTCGAGAAGGTGCTTTCGAACAAAATCACATTACATTACGTAAAAGGGTATTATGACGTATTTTTAAAGTTTGTGGTGCTGTATTCTAAAGGTAGGCCTAGATGATTATAAATAAATCAAATCGGGAGACACACTCACCCGGGTACCAACGAGAAGGCAAACACGTGCGTGACCTAACGTGTTATAGGTTGCAGTCAGAAATTGTGCTTCTCGACAAAATTCAGCTGTGGGCCGCGAATCTAACGATTCGTAAACGAACAGGTATTTGGACTAAACATGCTCATATGCCAACACTTATTGTGCAATTCACGTAATTCAAATAATGGTTTCACTTTGGTAGTTAGATGCCATTCCTAGCTTAATAGATTAGACTGACAAGCTTTGTGACGTAAATACTGGTGAACAGGTAGGAGCAACAATCTTTCCCCGTACAGACGATAAACACCTTGACCGAAAACCATCTTCAGAAGAGGGCATATGGTCTAAGGGAGATAACCCCGGTTTGCTCTGCTGACAACACTACATTATTTTTTTCCCGAAAGATATTTATCCCATTAAACGTCACAAAAAATCTCTGACATTTTTGTTAACATTTCGATACTTAAATATTATTTGTTTTCACGCTCTTATTCGTACATTCTAGACATCTTCTGCTTGGTTAATTACTGGAGATCGCTGCCGTCATTTGATTTCAGTCCCACAAAGTGGCAGGGGCGTAGGAACGGTTGTCAGAATGTGTGTGTGTGTGTGTCTGTGCGTGCGTGCGATTTATGAAAAGTATTGAAAATCAAAATAAAATTGTAGTTATGGTAAGGTAGATATGCTTTCGTCTCGAAAAAAGTTTATATATTATACATTCATACTTCGTACCCCCAATTCTGACTTTAGGATTTCTTGGTACTATGTTATAAAAACATGATGTTCCAAAATGAGTGTGTGCTCTGTAAGAAAATAAAACATCTGCGTAGCTTTGCCCATCTGACAGTACATTTTCCGTATGTTTACCGAAGAATGTAAAATTGACTGACATTTTAAGCGAAAGATATAAACGTGTCATAACTCATTGAAGGCACAATTGTATACATGTCTATATAACGCACACTATTTATATGGAGGAAAAAAGCTTGATAATAATAAAAAAATAACAGAGAAATACACATGTGAAACGATGGAGCGTAACCCCGTCGATAAATAGCAGCTGCCAGCCCAGTTGTCGCCGTACAGTAGTCCTCACTCGTTTCCCTAGTCTGTCTCACAGTCCCTGAACCACATTAATTTCCCTACTGCCAAGCCCTCTCTGCAGTGCTAAAGCCCTAAATAAAGCAAGTCTAGATTTCCTCAGGTTCAGGTGAATCTCTGGTCTCCCTAGGGCTCCTTTTCAATATAAATGGGCTTGTTTGTTACTATCAAAATTATATATATTCAGAGACTAAGCCTTAGTCTATCGTTTCCCTTTCCTCGATAATTCCTCTCTGATCTGGCGCAGTGAGGTGGTCTTGCCCACAGGGGCGTGTCATGCTTAGAAACAGCGTTAGAAAGACATATAGGTAAATAGATCCAACCCTAGTACTATATAAAAGGAAAGGGATGTAACGACGGAACCACCCCCTCCTCAATATAAGTTAGATTTCACCTCGTAAACTATTTGTAAACACACTATGGCCATCGATGGCCCCTCTCACTGCCCTGTCTGCCATGTCTGTTTGTTGTTTTTCCCCACACACGTGGAAATTGACCAATGAGAGCCGTTTTGTGTTCCGAGTCATTCCGAGATTTTCGGACAGTGTCGATGTTTACCGAAGGGCGGCCAGATGTTTGTTCAAAACGGAGGGTAGTTCTAATGCGAGGGTCAGTGGTCAAATATGAAATGTAGTCAGACAAACTGAATACGATGAACAGAAGGCCAAAAGAATAATCTGCAAACTCAACACATTGTTTTGTGAAAAACGTAAGCTTTGATTGAACGCACGTTAAAATAGTCGGGCTGTCCGGTTTTCGATCAGGCTTTAGCATCGCGAGTGTCACCCCTGGTGTATTTTATGCAAGTGTAGCGGGAGAATTTTCTAAAAAATACATTTCTTCACCGATTTCAATCAAATTCGAAATATAAGTTACTCATAACATATGAAAATAATATACGGTTGCAAAAATGTAGATTTTTAATTTTAATAATTATTGTCCAAACATCATCTGGCTGCAACCTCCTCAACTACAGGACTTCGAAGCCAAAAACAACCGTGCCTTGAGCTACATGTGCTTCGGATAGAGAAGCGCAGGTAAAATATACGCCGCAACACTCTTCCCGTACGCACGGTGCCCTGTCACCACTTTCCACATCTGAAGCAGGAGGAAATGCGGGGAAAGAGGGGGTGAGGACAGACATCCACGTACGTGGGCGCAGCCATGTGGTCGTATTGGCTGATGGAACACGTTACTGCTTTGTAGTCACGTTTGCGTTAAACAAGCAATGTTGTTTGTGGATAGAGGTGATTACAAAATAGTGCGACCTTAGGAAATATAGATTCAAGCGGACAGAAGCTTGTTGCCGCGTAACTTATAATATACTACAAACAAAAAATATGGGAACACCCTAACTTTGATAGTCATATATAAACTGAAACGTGGTGAGGTCATTTTTAAGGTAAATGCAACTTTTTGTGTGCTTAAAGGGCACTTTAAACGACATGTTGGAACATGCAGTGAAGCAACTGATTCAATATTCGTTGAGTTTGAGTGAAATGAAACATTGCTAAAAACAGCACCATGTTTGATTCAAAATTCAAACGCCCAAACACAACAGCCTAGTGCATGTGGAAGACAGACTTCCCATACCTGGCTACCTGGTGTTGGGTGGAACTGTGTATACCTAGGTACCTGGTGTTGGATGGAGGTGTGTATACCTGGTGTTGGAGGGAGGTGTGTATAACCCGGCTCTTGTGTGAAGGTGTGTATACCCGAGTACCCGCGGTAGGTTAGATGTGTGTGTGTATACCTGGGTACCTGCGGTAGGTTAGATGTGTGTATACCTGGGTACCTGGTGTTGGATGAAGGTGTGTATGGTAGTTGGATAGATTCCCTTCCATCATTCTTGTTTATCGTGAGATAAGGTCTCACAATTCTACCAATACTTTAGTATACTAGCTTTGTTTCCGAGACCTGACGTTATCAACTAAAACACCTCTGACCCATTTTCATATTCAACAAGAATTCCAGATGCCAATAGTCCAGCATGGTTACAGGTGCCAATAGTTTAGGATGGTTACAGGTGCCAATAGTTTAGGATGGTTACAGGTGCCAATAGTCCAGCATGGTTACAGGTGCCAATAGTCCAGCATGGTTACAGGTGCCAATAGTTTAGGATGGTTACAGGTGCCAATAGTCCAGCATGGTTACAGGTGCCAATAGTTTAGGATGGTTACAGGCGCCAATAGTCCAGCATGGTTACAGGTGCCAATAGTTTAGCATGGCTACAGGTGCCAATAGTTTAGGATGGTTACAGGTGCCAATAGTTTAGGATGGTTACAGGTGCCAATAGTCCAGCATGGTTACAGGTGCCAATAGTTTAGGATGGTTACAGGTGCCAATAGTCCAGCATGGTTACAGGTGCCAATAGTTTAGGATGGTTACAGGTGCCAATAGTCCAGCATGGTTACAGGTGCCAATAGTTTAGCATGGCTACAGGTGCCAATAGTTTAGGATGGTTACAGGTGCCAATAGTTTAGGATGGTTACAGGTGCCAATAGTCCAGCATGGTTACAGGTGCCAATAGTTTAGGATGGTTACAGATACCAATAGTCCAGCATGGTTACAGGTGCCAATAGTTTAGGATGGTTACAGGGGCCAATAGTCCAGCATGGCTACAGGTGCCAATAGTTTAGCGTAGCTACAAGTGCCAATATATGAGATCCAGCATGGTTACAGATGCCAATAGTCCAGCATGGTTACAGGTGCCAATAGTTTAGCATGGCTACAGGTGCCAATAGTTTAGCATGGCTACAGGTGCCAATAGTTTAGCATGGTTACAGGTGCCAACAGTTTAGCATGGCTACAGGTGCCAATAGTTTAGCATGGTTACAAGTGCCAACAGTTTAGCATGGCTACAGGTGCCAATAGTTTAGCATGGTTACAGGTGCCAATAGTCCAGCATGGTTACAGGTGCCAATAGTTTAGCATGGCTACAGGTGCCAATAGTTTAGCATGGCTACAGGTGCCAATAGTTTAGCATGGTTACAGGTGCCAATAGTTTAGCATGGCTACAGGTGCCAATAGTTTAGCATGGCTACAGGTGCCAATAGTTTAGCATGGTTACAGGTGCCAATAGTTTAGCATGGCTACAGGTGCCAATAGTTTAGCATGGCTACAGGTGCCAATAGTCCAGCATGGTTACAGGTGCCAATAGTTTAGCATGGCTACAGGTGCCAATAGTTTAGCATGGCTACAGGTGCCAATAGTTTAGCATGGTTACAGGTGCCAATAGTTTAGCATGGCTACAGGTGCCAACAGTTTAGCATGGCTACAGGTGCCAATAGTTTAGCATGGCTACAGGTGCCAATAGTTTAGCATGGCTACAGGTGCCAATAGTTTAGCGTAGCTACAAGTGCCAATATATGAGATCCAGCATGGTTACAGATGCCAATAGTTAAGAATGGTTACAGATGCCAATAGTTTAGCATGGTTACAGATGCCAATAGTTTAGCATGGTTACAGGTGCCAATAGTTTAGCATGGCTACAGGTGTAAATAGTTTAGCGTAGCTACAAGTGCCAATATATGAGATCCAGCATGGTTACAGGTGCCAATAGTTTAGCATGGTTACAGACGCCAATAGTTGAGATGCCAATAGTTTAGCATGGTTACAAGTGTCAGTAGTTTAGGATGGCTACAGATGCCAATAGTCCAGCATGGTTACAGGTGCCAATAGTTTAGTATGGTTACAGATGCCAATAGTTTAGCATGGTTACAAGTGCCAATAGTCCAGCATGGTTACAGATTCCAATAGTCCAGCATGGTTACAAGTGCCAATCATTTAGGATGGTTACAGATGCCAATAGTTTAGCATGGTTACAAGTGCCAATACTCCAGCATGGTTACAGATTCCAATAGTCCAGCATGGTTACAAGTGCCAATAGTTTAGGATGGTTACAAGTGCCAATAGTTTAGGATGGTTACAAGTGCCAATAGTTTAGCATGGTTACAGGTGCCAATAGTTTGGCATGGTTACAAGTGCCAATGGGTTAGCATGGTTACAAGTGCCAATATATATGAGATCTGCTACTCGACCCTTCAGTGCGGGCTGCGTGTTGTTCACGTGCTCCACTCTTTCATCGAGGCATCCGAAGGGATATTTGGGAATCTGCAACAATAGGATGTTGATTTCATATCAGACGTTGCCCATTTCATACTTCCCTGATCAATATTCAATAAAAGTAATTAAGTCAAACAGTTGTAGATGGGCGATGTCGGAATGAAGCAGCACTCGCTCCTCGTGCTCAGCACAATACATCACAGGGTTGGTTTGGCTAGCAGGCAGGCAATTTGTCGGGGCGACAATCTCGGTAAATACGTAAAAACGTCGGCAAATCGTGTTGGTGTCGCCATCAGAACCAGATTGTGTTTGCAGATTTAATGTCGATGAAAATGTTGTTATAGCCACGAGTCTTTCATCTCGGACTTCAAACATTTCGCACTTTCACTAATCTGTTTAGGACGGAAAGGAATATCAATATGGCGATTCCGTCTAAACACATCAGTCTAGGACAGGCGAGGGCCACTGCAGCTGTCTTACCCTCTGGTGTTGGGGCCGATCAGTGAACTGGAGAGCTCTTAAAGGTGCTATAACTGACATTCAGTAAATTCAGCTATTGTTTTTAACCGACTCGTCCCGGTCACTTGCTGTTAATTGTGACCGCCTGTGACCAACTCCTGCCTTGATCCCTCATTGTCCCGCGCCAGGCAGGATAAGTACAGTGTGATGCTGACGGTGATCGAACCCTCACAGAAATACCCTCTCCTGTCATTGTAGTGGAGACCCGTGAAGATCCGAGCTAGAATTGATCTTCAGTGCTTGTCGTAAGAGGCGACTAACGGGATCGGGTGGTCAGGCTCGATACTGCCTCGGTTGACACATGTCATCGTATCCCAATTGCCCAAATCGATGTTCATGCTGTTGATGACTGGATTGTCTAGTCCAGACTCAATTATTTACAGACGGCCGCTATATAGCTGGAATATTGCAGAGTGAAACTAAACTCACCTTGTAGTGGCCCCACCTCCTGTCCTGAGTGTCAAGGTTGAGATGTAAGTCGAGTCTATAATTCTATGCCATCCTGCCGGCATGCTCCGTGTGGAAGTGTAATATGAATACGAGGAATGAAATGTAAATGACTGAAGAAACAGAAGGCTGCATTATTCATAGTCTCCAGTTAAGGTTTTACTACCTTAACAACTCTGAAACTAATGGAGTTAAATGTAAGCACGGTATTTAATAGGGGACACCTGAAGAGAAAACCTTAAAGCCAGAGAATATCAAGTCTCGACTACGGCCATGCAGTTCCATCGGGTGTAGGGGCGGTGTGGTAGCCTCGTGGTTAAAGCGTTCGCTCGTCACGCCGAAGACCCGGGTTCGATTCCCCACATGGGTACAATGTTTGAAGCCACTTTTTGGTGTCCCCAGCCGTGACATTCTGGAATATTGCTAAAAGCAGCGTAAAACCATACACAGCCAGACATCGGGTGTAAAAGGCAGACTGGCTGTGTCAATTATATATATGATTGGATCACTGAAAATGAGTACTGACACCAGGTGTTCACGAACCGTGTAAGCATGTCTTGCTTGCCCTACCGGTCTCTCACAAGCTGATGAAGCACAGGTGTCGCCGTCATATCGATGTCATGTTGCTCAAAGCGGGGTAAAATATTGTTTGGACTATTCACGTTTCTAAGTGAGTGAGTTTAGTTTTACGCCGCACAGCAATATTCCAGCTATATGGCGGCGGTCAGTAAATAATCGAGTCTGAACCGGACAATCCTGTGATCAACATCATGAGCACCGATCTACTCAATTGGGATACGATGACATGTGTCAGCGATCCTGACCACCCGATCCCGTTAGTCGCCTCTTACGACAAGCATGGGCTACTGATGATCAATTCTAACCCGGATCTTCACGGGTCCACATTTCTGAGATAAACCGAATCAGCTTTCAACCTTGTACACAATCTATAATAATATGCAAACCCGCAGAAATGGTGGCATATGCAAACCATCTCTCACACAGGCAGATGCACGTACATCTTAATGTACACATTTGAAGCACCCTGTACGATAACAGTAACATTAAGGACGTTTATAGCAACGGACTCTCTTTGCGTAAATTTAAAAATAATTCTTGGAACGAAGGAAATTTTAGTCTTTTAAGTGTACGGGTTTCCGTTTATAAAGCCCAATCGTTAGAGAGCTATTTAGCTTATTTATCCGAATTTCAATATGGTAAATGGCTTTAGAAATTCAATTCCGGTTTAACATGACATCCTCTTCGATTTCTCCTGTACTTTGACATTTAGAATTGACATGGCTTTGTAATGTCAGTCAACAAAAACTAGGAATTGCGTGTGGCATGCAAACAAATTGATTATACCAAATCTCGATGCGTCAACACAGACCAAATCAAACGTTATGGTTGGCAGGTGTTTTTGTGAGCAGAGTGACAGGTGGTTGCTCCTGCAGCGCGAGCTTGTAATCGCTGTCACATTTATCACGGACTCCACGAGGCTGATCAGAATTGCGTGTCTTGTACAGGAACAGTCGGCTCCAACACGGTGGAAGTGTGGTGACAGGTAGTAATATAGTGTTCTCGTAAATACACGCCGTAGTAATGCTGAACGCTACGTTCAAAGTGCACGATAACCGGAAGTAAGTAGGCTGTCATCACAGACAGGATAATTTGAAGTTGCACAAGCTCTTCACGTTTGACAGTCCGTAATTAGCAGATTACAGTCATGAAACTGACAGACAAATAATGTTCATTTATACGTCTATCATATCCACCAAGGGCTACAGCTGGCGCACAAGACCGTTTTCATCAGAACAACTGGGTTAAGGAACTTTTGACAATATGCACGCACGCGCGCACACACACGCACAAACGCTTAATTCCACAAAATGGAAAACAAAGAATGAAACAGGTACTTCGTCAATTTGACGTCGTATTTATAGATGTGGATATTACAGTAATGGTGGATACTGGATGTGACTGTCGTTGGTAATGTTAGATAGTGGATGTGACTGTCGTTAGTAATGTTAGAAAATAGATGTGACTGTCATTAATAATGTTAGATACTGGATGTGACTGTCGTTGGTAATGTTAGATACTGGATGTGACTGTCGTTGGTAATGTTAGATACTGGATGTGACTGTCGTTGGTAATGTTAGATACTGGATGTGACTGTCGTTGGTAATGTTAGATACTGGATGTGACTGTCGTTGGTAATGTTAGATACTGGATGTGACTGTCGTTGGTGATGTTAGATACTGGATGTGACTGTCGTTGGTAATGTTAGATACTGGATGTGACTATCGTTGGTAATGTTAGATACTGGATGTGACTGTCGTTGGTGATGTTAGATACTGGATGTGACTGTCGTTGGTGATGTTAGATACTGTGATGTGACTACTGGATGTTGGTGATGTTAGATACTGGATGTGACTGTCGTTGGTAATGTTAGATACTGGATGTGACTGTCGTTGGTAATGTTAGATACTGGATGTGACTGTCGTTGGTAATGTTAGATACTGGATGTGACTGTCGCTGGTAATGTTAGATACAGGATGTGACTGTCGTTGGTAATGTTAGATACTGGATGTGACTGTCGTTGGTAATGTTAGATACTGGATGTGACTATCATTGGTAATGTTAGATACTGGATGTGACTGTCGCTGGTGATGTTAGATACTGGATGTGACTGTCGTTGGTAATGTTAGATACTGGATGTGACTATCGTTGGTAATGTTAGATACTGGATGTGACTGTCGTTGGTAATGTTAGATACTGGATGTGACTGTCGTTGGTAATGTTAGATACTGGATGTAATGACTGATCGTTGGTGGTATGTTAGATACTGGATGTGACTGTCGTTGGTAATGTTCGTTGATACTGGATGTGACTGTCGTTGGTAATGTTAGATACTGGATGTGACTGTCGTTGGTAATGTTAGATACTGGATGTGACTGTCGTTGGTAATGTTAGATACTGGATGTGACTGTCGTTGGTAATGTTAGATACTGGATGTGACTGTCGTTGGTAATGTTAGATACTGGATGTGACTGTCGTTGGTAATGTTAGATACTGGATGTGACTGTCGTTGGTAATGTTAGATACTGTGTGACTGTCGTTGGTAATGTTAGATACAGGATGTGACTGTCGTTGGTAATGTTAGATACTGGATGTGACTGTCGTTGGTAATGTTAGATACAGGATGTGACTGTCGTTGGTAATGTTATGATACATACTGATGTGACTGTCGTTGGTGATGTTAGATACTAGATACAGGATGTGACTGTCGTTGGTAATGTTAGATACTGGATGTGACTGTCGTTGGTAATGTTAGATACTGGATGTGACTGTCGTTGGTAATGTTAGATACTGGATGTGACTGTCGTTGGTAATGTTAGATACAGGATGTGACTGTCGTTGGTAATGTTAGATACTGGATGTGACTGTCGTTGGTAATGTTAGATACAGGATGTGACTGTCGTTGGTAATGTTAGATACAGGATGTGACTGTCGTTGGTAATGTTAGATACTGGATGTGACTGTGTGACTGTGGTAATGTTAGATACAGGATGTGACTGTCGTTGGT